TAAGGAAAAATACGGGCAATAAAATTGGGAGTCTGACCCCAATTTCTGACCCCTGCTCTTGACTGAAGGAGAGAAGCCTGGAGAGACATAAGTGCCAACTATGATGGAAAGTCTAGTACAACTACAGGTGAAAGTCTGTGTGTCTATATTGGACTTCACTGGCTTTAATAGAACTCAAAAGATGTCTGCAGACAAACTGATTTGCAGGATGATCTAAAATCTAAGTGATAACCTTTGGAGAAAGGACTGTAGGGCTTGAACAGGCCCTCAATTGTATGCAGAGTAATACTATAATTTACCTAGTGGCACTCACAAAGGATGACATGACAAATGCTTAAAGTTTTGGTTCAGATGCTTCATAAATATTTATCGATTACTGAGCTAGGCACTGTGGGAGATATACGAGATGTGGCTCTGCAGTAATGTGGCTGATTTTTTTTTAATTTTTATTTATTTATGATAGTCACACAGATAGAGAGAGAAGCAGAGACACAGGCAGAGGGAGAAGCAGGCTCCATGCACCGGGAGCCCGACGTGGGACTCGATCCTGGGTCTCCAGGATCACGCCCTGGGCCAAAGGCAGGCGCCAAACCGCTGCGCCACCCAGGGATCCCAATGTGGCTGATTTTTTAAAAACCAGGAATTCCTCAGTCATTTATTCAAGTGTGGGCTCTTTTTTGAGAGGTTAAATATTTTTTCATAGATGTTTTCACCACTCAGCACTCTCTAACTCCTTAGAGTTTGCTTTCAGCCTACAGCATATTTTAAAAAATATATGTGTATTTAAGATACATATATATTTAATTCTTAGAATTAGCCAAAAGTCATTTGGTACTAAACCTATGAATGTGGTAGGATAATATTCTGTTCATCTGAAATGATGTGTGACTGTGGAATACTGAGTCTGAGTTTTTGGATAAGGTTTATTAATTTCAAAGGAGGAGTTCCAATGATACTGTGTGAAATGCAGCATTATTGCCACTGGCTTATTGCTTCTCAAAATGACCCTGAAGGAAAATACTTATTTCAGTAATAGTTCTGATGTGTTCATAAAAAGTTAACTTCTTAGATAGAGAGCCACACCTGAAAATGGCTTAACCTTTAGGAATCTTCTGCCTCATTAGGAAGGTGGGAACCAGTGCTATAGTTAAGAAAGCTGGAACTGGCATTCTTCACTTGGTGCTGGACCAAGGCTAAGGTGATTGTGTGATGCAGACAAGAAGCAGGGGCGGCTAACCCGGCTCCCCTTTCAGCTTTACACCCACCCTCAAAGATGTAGGTTGTCTTTGTGTCAAAAATTCCCCCTCAGATTTTCCCCTTTGTTTTTGTTTTCTTCACTATTTGTTTTATACAGATGAATTTATGTGAAAAGGGGTGGAGTGTGAGTATTAAATTTCTCCTGGTTCCATGTTATTGCAGAACTGATTCTGGAAATGGGAAGTAAAGAAGGAAACCAGTTAGCGAAAGTAGTTAAGGTTAATTTCTTGAAGTAGGTGGGTGGGATTGATTTGAACTAAGTTCTGGAGAATAGAGATGACATACATTGCTTTTGTGCACATGAAATTCAAATTTATATAATGATTATACATTCTCTGTCTACTGCATGGTCACATGGTCTTTTATATTAGAATGCCAGATACTCAGGGCAAGGGCTAGTGCTTCTGAGTTTTTTGTATTCCTCACAGCATGTAGCACAGTGCAGGACATCTCATCAAGGCTTCAAGAGAGAATTGTTACTCCCTGATTCCCTTCTTGTTTTCCCTTTTTTCCTTTAAGCAAATGTGGTGTCTGAGTCTGCTCAGGCTGCCATAACAAAATACCATAACCTGGGTGGCTTAACCAACAGAAGTTTATTTCCTCAAAATTCTGGAGGCTAGGAAGTTCAACATTGAGGTGCTAACTGATTCGATTCCTGGTGAGTACTCTCTTCCTGGCTTGCAGATGGCTGGCTTCTCACTGGGTCCCCAGATGGCAGAGATAGAGCAAGCCTCTGTAAGGACACTAGTCCTACTGGATCAGTGCTCCACCCTCATTTAACCTCATCCTAAGTACAGCCACACTGAGGATTAGGGCCTCAGCATATAAATTTTGAGGAGACACATAGTTCAGTCCATATCGCCGCTGGGACACTTATTACACTATGCTGTGATAATTTGTTTATGTCTATCCCCCATTGACTATGGTGTCCTTAGGTGCTAAGCACTGTGCTAGGCATTGAGAATCACAAAGATGGATCTTGCCTGCAAAGAGTTTATCATTAGTTGTATTTGTTTTCTATAGCTGCTGTAATGAATTACCACAAACTTAGTGGCTTAAAGCAACACAAATGTATTACTTACAGCTCTATAGGTTAGAAGTCTGATACATATCTCACTGAGGTAAAATCAAGGTGTCAGGAGAGTTGTGTTCCTTTTGCAGGCTCTAGGCAGAATCTGTTTCTTTGACTTTTCCAGCTTCTAGAGGCAGCCAACAATTCTTGGCTTCTGGCTCCCCTTTCTCCATCTTAAAGCCAGCAAAATTGCATCTCAGTGACCACTCTACTGTAGTCACATCTCCTTCTGAAACAGCCAGGCAAGACTCTCTGTTCTTCAGGATCCATGTGATTAGTCTGGACCCATTCAGATAATTCACCATAATCTCCGTATCGCAAGGTCCTTAGTTTAATCACATCTGCAAAGTTCCATTTGCCATGTCAGGTAACATATTCACAGCTTCTGGAGATTTAAATGTGGACATTGTTGGCAGGGGGACATTATTCTTTCACATTAGTGGAAGAAGAGACATGTAAATTAGAGATTCAATGCAATGTGCCAAATGCAATAATGGAAATCTATTTAGGGTACATGTATATGGGAAGAAGGTGGTTAACAAATGATAGTTATAAATGAGGTACTGGCAGTAAAGATGAAGAGGATGAGGTGGGTATTAGGGAGTTAGAATGGGCATAATCTGGGATCCAACCTGATGTAGGGGATGAGGGAGAGAAAGAGAAAAGGAGTAGAATGACTTCCAGATTCTGGATTGGGACTGGGCAGGCCTCTTGTTGGCACTGGAGGGCATGGTTAGTTGCTCTTCATGCCCTTCTGTCTTCATGATTACTCTGGCTACAACCAGGTGGTGGATGGAGGGGTGATTCCATGAAAAGGCATGTTGGGCAGATATCCTACTAGGGATACACTTCAGTGGAGGAGATGGTGCATTCCGCTTTGTCTTTCTCTTTTGCTTTTTAAAAAAGTTGAGATACAATTTACAGTGAAACGCACAGATCTTAAGTGTTTAGTTCAACGAGTCCATGAATATATACTCATATCCAAATCAAGATATAGAACATTTCTATCACTTTACGAAGATCTCTGGTGCCTCCTGCAGTCAATCCCTACACCTCAAAGGCATCTAGTACTCTGATTTCTATCATGGTAGATAATTTTGCCTATTGTACAACTTTGTATAAATGGAAGCACGTAATATGTACTCTTTGATGCCTTTCATTCAATATAACGTATCTGAGATTCAACTATGTTACTGCTGTATCATTCCCTCCTTTTTGTTGTTTAGAAGTATGTCCAAATTTGCTCTTTCGTTCATCTTTTGATGGACATTTGGGTTATTCTTAGTGCTTTGGTTGTTTGGACATTTTTATACAAGTCTTTTAGGGTTAAAGGAGAATTTATAGGGATCCATGGGTGGTGCAGCGGTTTGGCGCCTGCCTTTGGCCCAGGGCGCGATCCTGGAGACCCGGGATCGAATCCCACGTTGGGCTCCTGGTGCATGGAGCCTGCTTCTCCCTCTGCCTGTGTCTCTGCCTCTCTCTCTCTCTCTGTGTGTGACTATCATAAATAAAAATAAATAAATAAATAAATAAATAAATAAATAAATAAAGGAGACTTTATAGGATTAAATGCTGAGATTAGAAAAGATGAGCTGTTTTGAGTAAGTTAAGTCAGAGGTACTTGTGGGACGTTCGGGTAGTGAGGTCCAGGACCAGTTTTGAGTACAGTCTACGGTAAAGGAGAGAGACGTGGGCTAGCAATTTAGATTCCTGTAGTCGCTAGTCATTATGCAGAATCAAAGCCATGGCAAAAATCCTCAGGCAGAGTATAAAGTGTGAGACAAGCAAAGGCCCATGAATTAAATCCTGGAAAGCACGGATATCTCTTTGTAAAGTGGAACTGTCCAAAGAGGCTGAGCAAGCATGACCATTTATCTTTGTATCTCCATAGCAGGCATAGGACTCGACTCACAGGCACGTCTCAATTTGCTAAATTTAACAGAATATGTGCAGAGTACACGCTCTTTGATAGACCCCAAGGAGGAGTTAGATGGGCAGGAGAAACGGCGTGAGGAGTCTTACAGGACATAATGAGTGTGGGGATTGAAGAGAGGGAGCCTGCGGGGTAAGCACAGCGGGCTTCACCTTAGCTTCGACAGCTGGGAGGTGGAATTGTCGGGGTTGAATAATTAGGTAGGGTCAGGCTACCCAGGTCCTGAAATGGATATCAGATGGAAGAATTTAGACCCCACAGGCCAGCCACCTTGAGCAGAGGTGGGTTCTGAAAGTAGGGCGTGAGAACATGAGATTTGCTTTTAGGAAGTGACTCTGGCGGCGACGGAGGTACCGAAGCTACTGCTGGTGACAAGGCTGAGTTCTTATCAGTAGGTCTTTCCCCTGGTCTTTGGCTTTGTAGCTGCCGCTGATTCCCGGACCCGGCGCTGTAACTGTGCCTCTAAGCCTTGGTAGCAGGAGACAGAGGTCGTGGCATCTGGCCGCAGCTGGGAGGCAGTGCGTGCGCGCCGGCCCGAGGAGTCCGGTCGGGAACCCTCCCGCGGAATTGCAGGCAGGAGGGGCGCGGGTGGGGCGGCCGAGGAGCCAGGCCACGCCCCCTCTCGCCCGCGCAGGCGCGCTGCGGGCCGTTAGCTGTCAGGAGCCGAGCGGCGGGCGGCGGGGGTCCGACGTCTGCGCTGGAACCCGCTGACAGCACCCAGCTCGGCAGGGGCGGCAAGGGCGGCAGGGGCGGCCCCGGCTCCCCCGCCAGGTCGCAGAGGAGAGCAGGGACCAGCGGCAGCCGGCGACGCTGGCACGATGGGGAACCGGGAGATGGAGGAGCTGATCCCGCTGGTGAACCGTCTGCAGGACGCCTTCTCGGCGCTGGGACAGAGCTGCCTGCTGGAGCTGCCGCAGATCGCCGTGGTGGGCGGCCAGAGCGCGGGCAAGAGCTCGGTGCTCGAGAACTTCGTGGGCAGGTGAGCGCGCGGGGCGCGGGGGGCGGGGCGGGGACCCCGCTAGGGGCGGCTGGAGCGTGCGGGGCCGGCGGCGGGAGCCCGGGGCGGACCGGGGGCCGAGGCGGAATGGAGGGCAGAGCGGCGGCGTCCGTGGGGCGGGCGGGGTCGTCCCGGCTCCGGGCATCCTCCGTCCGCCGCCCCTCCGCCCCGCCCCCCCCCGCGCCTGGTGGCCCCCCTGTCTGCCTTTCATCCTGCGATACAAAGCCATTTCCTCTCCGTCCTCCGGTCGGGGAGTCAGGGGAGGGGGGTCCGCCCGGCGCGCCGGCCTCGGGCAGCCTGGATGCGGAGCGCGCCCGGGAGCTTCCCAGTCCCCGTCTGCTGTGTTTTCCCGGCTCCACATCCCCCTCCGTTTCCTGCCAGCCTCCGCGAGGCTCCAGGCGCCCCCCGGCCCCCGGCCCCCGGCCCCCGCCCCCCGCGGAGCTGCGGTCCTCCGCGCCCCGGGGCTCGGCTGCGCTCAGCTGTCCACTGTTGGAGACGGTCGTGCTCAGCCCCTCGCCGGGGAGGCGGGGTGCGAGGAGAAAGGAGCCGTTTGTTGTGGTGGAAGCTTTATCCAGCCGCGCTTCCCCACCATTCTCCTCCCTAGGAGTCGGAGAATAAAAGGTGGTGTGTGTCCGCGTGGGCACCTATTCTGAGCCCCAGGCTGGTGTCGAGGGAGGGGAGCGTGGACCCGCGTTGCCCAGATGCCGTGTCATTCCCGCATCCTCTCGGAATTGACCAGCATCTTCCTCGCACGCTCCCTGCGCCCCCTCCCCCGCAGCGGCTTCCGTTCCCGGGGCTCGCCTCTGTCCTGCGGGGCTTCGAGATAAAATGAGGGGTCTCAGCTATAGTTATGGATTCCATCGTGGCTCTTCGCACAGAAAGAGCTTAAAGGATTAATTTTTGAATTGGGAATCAGCATTGCTTCCCCTGAGCAGTTCGCCAGGGATTAAGTTACCTTAACGGCCTCGCCTGAGGAGCGCAGACGTTTGCCAAGAAAAGCCCGTTTGAGAGCATTACGAAGGCTGAAATCTGTGTCCTATAGTAAACCAGGGAGAAATGTGCAGCCCTGAGACAGCGGGCCGGAGGGGGCACAATCCAGATTGTACTTTACTCCTTTTACTTGGCTAGTCAAGTGACTGGAGATTCCAGAGGGTCCTGTTCCTTTTTTTCTTTTTTTTTGTTTTTTTGTTAGTGTTTGGTGGTGTGTAAAATTTCCATATTCCCACATCTCCTTTGGGAATGTTAGTATCTATAAAGTGCATATTCTTCTATCTTAGATGATGCTCTATCTCTCTGATGATATTCTTTTTTCCCCCTTGTATGAACTAGAAAGCTTAGGATCCTAATAAAAAAGTAGAATTGCTGACAATTGGCTGGTATCATTGCCTAAGTCTCTTAATCCCTTCACTTGCAGGTCTTACCATTTTGAGTGATGAGAAACTGATGGTAAAACATTTTGCATACGTCATCATAGATTAATGGTGAAGTGATGGATGGATGTGATTTCAGACATAAACACGACAGTCATATACTTAATTAAGAGTTTTACTTTTTTTGATTTATTGTCAATGAAATTCACTAAATTTAAAGTGGTATCCATAGGAAAGTGAGATTTGAGGACAATGTAATTTTGAATCTTCAAACTCCAGCACATTTAACATGGTGCCTTAATAGTCATTTAACTACTTTTGTTTTTTGAACAAATAATTGAAGACTAAAATTGTAAGTAATTCAAGTGCAGTTACCATATTTTTATGCATCTTTTTCATATATTTACTTGGATAGGCCTGTATTATAAATGCATTGTTTGTGTCAGGAGCTGTTGAACCTAATGTCAGTATTATGCACATATCTCAATTCGGTTCTCCAGGTTTTCAAATCCTGACACACTACTTAATGCTGTAATAAAGTTGTATACATTTCCCCTCACTAGCTATAGTCTTAAAATGTGAATTAAAAGGAAAAGATATATGGAAGAGTAAAATATTTTAGCTTAAGCATTTTTGTGCTTTTCATTTAGAATGAAAAATAAGGACATTATAAGCATTATACAAATCAGAGCATTTAGCACAATAGTACTCTGTTATACTTTTTAAAGTTTTATCAACAATTACTGTTAAAATATCAAATCAAAGGAAAGGGTGAACATAGAGGGAAAAAACTCATTTAATAAATATATAAAGGCTTTATTATCTGTAGAGATGACACTTGCCTAGCAGAGCTTATATATTAGGAAAAAAATTAATTAAAAAGGTCATTTGACTTTAATAAAGGTTTCGGTCATTGAATTATTGAGGAATCTAATTTCTAATTATAAACCAACCTTAGGGAAAAAGGAGTTCTCAATTTTGAAAGGAGATTGGTCCTAGGCAGAAAAAAACTACTTGTATTCCACTATAACCTTTTATCTTTTTGTTATCCAGAAGTTTTGTAATAAGGATAAGGTCCTTTCCTTTAAGGATGAAACTTTCTTCTTTTACACGTAGCTGTTTTCATTTGAGGACTCTGGCGTATTGTAGTTATCCAATGTAGTCATAAAACAAGGGGTCATTGCTTGTATGAATTGTGTTTGCTCTCATTTAAGCTTGTTCTCTTCAAAATAATGATGCATTTTCCTCAATACTTAACAATCCATATTTAGTGGATTAACTATTTTCTCCTCTCAGATAGTTTATATTGATTTTTTTTGATACCACTGAACGAATCTGGTTGTGAATGTGTTTACTTCATTAAACTGTAGCTGTAAAATCCAATTTTGGGGTGACAAGTTTTAAATTGTTATGAATAAAATGAGTCATGAATGAACTACTTGTTTGTGATATTCTTTCTGAAGTGATGAATTTACATATTAATGTAATATAGCGTGAGTAACCAGATTGTTCTTTTGGTTGTTCAGATGAGATATAGACTGGCAGTGAGAGGCAGCGTAAGGTCTAGTGAGTAGAAGCTGAGACTTATGTGAATATAGGGGTTCATTATCTGGTGTGGGGTCTGCCCATTTGGTTTGTGTATGAAAGAACAGAATTTACTCAACTACTTTCATATCCAGTGTTTTTTTTTTTATTGCAGTGCAGTGAGTTGATATGATGATGGTTATGGTAGTGGTTAACATTTATTGAGAGCTTGCTATGCATCTGGTGCTACTCTAAGGACTCTTACATGGGTATTCTCATTTAATAATCATAAAACCTCACAAAGGAAGGTACTCTTATGAGTTTCATTTTATGGAAGAAGAAATTGAGATTTAGACAGTTCAAGTAACTTGCTGATGGCTAATTTAATTTAACATAAAAACAGTGGAGCTAGGATCCAACCTGAGGTATGGGCTCTATACCTATACTGTAAACCAGGGTGCCATATTGCTCCCTCCATACTTAGATTTACCAAATCCTCTGATAAATACTTTTAACTTCTTTCTTTGACCACACTTAAAAAGCACCTCCTGGGGATCCCTCGGTGGCTCAGCAGTTTGGCGCCTGCCTTTGGCCCAGGGCGTGGTCCTGGAGTCCTGGGATCAAGTTCCACGTCAGGCTCCCTGCATGGAGCCTGCTTCTCCCTCTGCCTGTGTGTCTGCCTCTCTCTCTCTCTCTCTCTCTCTCTCTCTCTCTCTCTCTCTCTCTCTGTCTTTCATGAATGAATAGATAAATGAAATCTTAAAAAAAAAAGCACCTCCTAAATGGACAAGAAACTGCCATATTAATAGTAGTGTTCATATTTATTTAAGTCTACTTTGCCTTATTTCACAGAAGATTTGAGGCAACCCCTTAGGCAGAAGCCACATTAGTTAAAGAATAAGTACTTTTCTTTACTATATTAGACATTCTTGAAGGGAGCTCTAGCATGTAATTGGGTTGTTTATTTAAGTATGTGTTTAGAATACATATAACTTGTTTATGGAGGTGTTAAAGGAAAACTGTATTAGTTGCTAATGTGCAAATGTTTTATAATGATATACTTGTTAAAAACATTAGTTTTTCAATACTAATTATATAGGCAGAGAATTCCACATTATTTTATTCTAGTCTGAGTGGTAAATAGACTTTTAATTTTGTACAAATATAGCAGGTTTTGTGATTAATGATTAAAAAGATTTTTCAAAGTTGACTGTGTTAAGGGAGTGCATTTCAGGTGGAAATGTCAAATGTATACTTATATAGTTGTGATTTTTTAAAAAAGATTTTATTTATTTATTCATGAGAGACACAGAGAGGGGCAGAAACACAGGCAGAGGGAGAAGCAGGCTCCATGCACAGAGCCCAATGTGGGACTCTATCCCAGGACTCCAGGATCATGCCCTGGTCCAAAGGCAGGTGCTAAACCGCTGAGCCACCCAGGCGTCCCTAGTTGTGATGTTTTAAAGACAGATATGTGGATTGTCTAATAAAAGTTTTTTTGAGAGAGAACCTTAATAGCCACTTGATGCTGTTGTTGCAATGGACATAACTGGATAATTTTTAAAAAATCCTTAAGTCATTTACATGGCTTAGGCACTAATCTATTCTTGAATCCTTTGACTGATTTCAAGAGAGTAGTTAAAAATTGAGGAGGCCAGAGTTCTTTAATTGCGAGTAAGATTAGGCACAGAAGCACTCATATTAGCAAAACTTCTTAATTCAGAAACAGGTTTGTATTGAGGAAAATTATTTTTTTAATTATCAAAGCAGCTGAATTAGCGAATATTTTTCAACAAATAGCTTCCAGGTATTAAAGTGATTAGATAAATAGGTGCTAACAATTAAGTTGTGATAATTTTTGAAAATTGTGCTTCATGGTTCCCAAGAGTCTATTTAAATAAAATGTCAGACATCTGAACTTTTTTTGGTCCAGCAATGAATTGATAAAATCTGAACTTATGAAGATACTTTTGCTGAATTAACATACATGATATACTTTAGGTGATCACAAGTGTACAGTTGGAGTTAATTACTACAATCAACTTAATTCTTTTTTATTAATAGTATCTGAGAAGAATACAAGTAGGT